CTGGTTATAAACGACACGTCTATCCATAACTACTCAGAGTTTCAAATCACACTGATCTGAGGGGCACTGCCACTGCGTCCGTCACCCTGAAACGTAAGTTGACAAGTCCCATGTGCCTGTAATTTCACCAGCACCTACCCTGTACTGTTTGACGTCAGAAATAAATAAGGTGGTTGTACCTCTATGGACGAATTCTCTAACAAAGAGCTTTGTTGCGAGTAAAGTACGAGTATTTTGAATATTTTTTAGGAACAGAAAAAGCTACTGTGGATATAGTGTTTTGCACTATGTATTAGCAAAGGATTTCTCTGTTCGTATATGCAAGGATTACAGACGTAAATTTTCTAAATATAAAACAAATCTAACGTACCTACTACGAAAATTGAGTTAAATCATGGGAATGTTCACTAATAAAAGCAATTATTGCTATTCGCTGTTTACTTGAAATTATACCTATAGTTTAAAATGCCGTTCTACTTGGAACTGGGAAAAACAATTATTTGACAAAAAATTTACTTTGAAATAAATTTAATTGATATTTCAACGACAAACGTTTCTTACAAATACCGTGGTCGTTCAATCAACTTTTAACAGATGACTCCACGTTTAATGTTTTACCGAAACTATATAAATATTTGCATTTTACAAAAGGCAATTATATCGCGTTTTTTTATAGTAGGTACCAATTTTCCGTAAAAAAAATCCAGATAACTGATTTTCGCAATATAATTAATTGAATGTTTCCTCATTACCAAATTATGTATTAATTTGTATTACAAAATCATGAGCCGTTAACGTCACAAATATGACAAAAGGTATTTGGGTTGCGTCATGGCGCTCAAAAGTTACAGCGAGTGACGTAGGAGGCAATTGTGACAAAGATTTAATTAAAAACGTGATGCTATAAGTGGACACATTTTTAATAATAAGTCAGCCGCTCTCTGGTTGAAGTTCACTGCCTAATTTTCGTGCCGATTTTTATTGTTTAAGAATTCGAGTATGTTAACGTTCAACATGATTTAATATTCGTGTATTATTATCGTGAAATATACTCGAGTATAAAATAATATGAATAATAGCCAAATGCGATCTTGAGAAGACCACTGATCAATAAGACTTTTATATATTTACACATTTATTTAATAAATTTGTTACACTACACTGAACTATAGTCGACCTTTTTTGAAGATGGAGTAAAATGACAGTTCACTGTGTAAAAGTGTTGCCCGCAGTGCAATCGATAAATATTCTATCGACTATCGATTGAATGTTGGTTTAGCTTATGCAATAAACAGCCGAAATTTGAATTTTTGAATCATCATCGGCCCATTATTCTTCCAACTTCTGGGCAGATTCATTTGAATTGTCATTGTAAATTCATACATACTTAAATTACACATAGAACTATACCTAAAAAATACAAATTGGAGACGTATTTTAAAGTTTTTGATTTTAATTTAATATATTATTTGTAAATTCATACATACTTAAATCACATTTAGAACTATATATAAAAAAATACAAATTGGAGACATATTTTAAAGTTTTTGATTTTAATTTAATATACGTAATCAAATCCGCATGTCGTTATTAATATGTATACATAAATAAAAATTTATTTCGATGCTAGTAGGCCAACTGTCAAAACAAAAATAAAGACGACAATAACGCAATAAACATTACAACGTCGTAACATTCGCAATTCAGACTTATGCCTTCTTTCACGATCAATCGATAAAACCGTCGACAACAACTACCAGTCTATTTAAAATTTTGTGAAAAAATGCAAACGTTATTTTACACCCTCTTAAAAAATGACAAATTATAAGTGCATGATGCATATAAAACAATTATTACAACATTATTTTATACTAAGGATATGCACAGGAACCTTGGATGACGACTCTCATACTAAGCATTATTACTTTAGTATGAGAGTCGTCATCAAAAAATAACAAAATGGGCTACTCGCTCATTGAACGCGCAGTCTAGGCTGTTCATAAGTTGGTGGAAGACCATCTGTCCTACAATAAAAGCTTCTCCTTAGTTTAGGTACAAGTGTCTTGCAAAAAATAATATCGATATATTTTATTGTAGTATGTGCGGTATTAGTCATAAAGACAAAATACCGAACACTAAACGATGATGTAGTTAGTGGCCAGGATAGAAAGGAAGACGCTTTAACGATTTGGTCATGTAGAAACAATGAATATTGGTAGATTGACGGCAAAATTTATGGAGCGAATGAGGAGGAGTGAAGAGAAGACCCCGGTTAACAGATTGGGGATGTTCTTAAAAAAGCAGTAGGTGGAGATCTACTGTGTCTGCTTACCCCGTTGGGAGACAGGCGTGATGATATGTATTTATATATGTATATTTTATTATGTATTTATTTTTATTAATTCATTTATATTATTATTATATGAACTGAGTAAGAAATCGAGTAGAGCACGGGGAACGATAACGGTACGGACCGAACCGACCGGAAGTATAGATCATACGCCGAACAACTCGCGCGCTTGTTCGCTCATCAAACAACTCAGCCGAGTGTGGACTAAAAGCCACAGTCGTCTAGTATCCGACCATGACAACGCATTCGGCTGAACACTCGGTCGTTGTCATTTTGTAGTTGCATGATTACGTCATTTTTTTATTAGGCACCTGCCCCCAACTAACTACCTACAAGGAACCGCTAATCAAGACAAATATAAATACATACTTCACTACAGGTACCGATACAACACATATACAGACTAAATGCGCATTTATTGACAAACTGCCTCCGTGGCCGACCGGTTACCATGCCAGACTGCCACGCAGAGGTTTCGATTCCCAGGCCGGGAGAAGTATGTGTATGGCCTACATTTATTTCTTTTGCGAGTTTGGGTGTAATTTATGGTTGTCTATGTATATGTCCATGGCACCCGCGATACAGGGTTTCCCTAGTGCGGGGCTATGAGTGTGTTGCGTTATTATTATTCGACACGAATTTCATCGCGCACACTCCGCGCGGCCATCGTGCGAAGTCCGCGTTGCCGCCGCGCGACAGCGTGCCTCTAACTGTCATGGCAAAAGACGCTCTAAAGAAGCTAAATAAGCTTTTACGTTTGAACTTAAATGAGCGTCCGAGACACGCGGTCGAGTCTGCTTTGAATTTGGTCTACGCGGCGCTCGGACGACGGTCCCGCGTAATATAACAATATTATTCAGAGGAACTTAAATATTGTTGCCTAGTAAATATCATTGAAATTCGCCATTAAAGTACATGAAGTTGTGGTAACTCGGCGGTCGTCGCGCGGCGGCCGCGCGAATACTTTCGCCTTGTGTAACTGGGCGCTAAAGCAATTTTTATTCAATTGTTCTACCGATAAAACCGCATAAAAATTGCTTTTCCCTATCTTCACTATATTTATGAAGACATCTCTGTATTAATTGCAATGTAAGTATATTATCAACCCACTTACGTCCCCCTGCTGAGCACGAGTCTCCTCTAAATGTAAGGTTAAGGCCATAGGCCATATAGGACTATATGGCGTTGGCAAAAGTATAGGTTGGGGACATGAAGTTGTCTTCTAGGATTTATTTATAAACCTTTTTGACGAAGAAATAAATAACGCACATACTCATCGCCTCGCCCGGAAATAGTACCCGGGACCTCTGCGTGGCCAGCATGGTCACCGTTCGGCCACAGACGCAGCAGAATTGATAAACTACAGATGATTTGATAATAAATTCAATACCTGAGGACCTTCTGTTGGATATAATAAGTTTATTTATTTCTCACCACAATAAGACATAATAAACAAAATACAAGTACTATATGAACTAGGCTCAAGACTTGTATTTAGGGAAATATACGGACTATATCCAAAATGTTATTTTTTATTATTCAATAAAACTGGCCGATTATTAAAGTTAGTTATCATTCTTACAAAACTAAACTTTCAGCCCTATGATTCGAACTAGGATTTAAATTACGACCCAACAATCAAATACGTCATAGTGGTTTACCTCACGAAATTTTACATACTATTCGATTGCTATATAAGTCCAAACTTGTACATGCATAAAATTTGTCGGGAAATCTGCCATTAATTTATTACAGGCTGCGTAATATTCGTGAATGTGGTATTTTATTTGCATGATACATCTAGAATAAAAAGAAACTAAATGGTGTTTGCATTGGGTGTTTGCCTTATCAGCGCCGTCTATTGGCGATTAAGTATGTTACAGCCGAACACACGCATTAAAAAAATTAAATGGTATATTATTATAGTCACGGGTTCGAGCGCTGGCAACAGTTGATTGTGCTGTGACCTATATACCAAAGTTAACGTAACCTGCGACCCGCGCGGCGGTCTCCGTTGCACCGACAATGTACTTACATAACGCAATGTAACAAATGGCCGATTTACATAATACTGTAGACGCGATTATAACGGCGGACGCCCACGCAACGTTCGAGACTTCGTCGGCACAACCGCGCGACACAATTTAATTTACAATAAATATGAACGTGCACTTGAATTAATTATGCATTCTTACCTTTGAATGGCGAATTCATAGCTATCGTTGTTATTTTTTATAACAACAATACATTATTAACGTTTAATAATAATAATTACACAAGAGACATTATATTCACTAGAAGTTTTGTTATGTTGCATACAATAATAAAAAGAACATAAGTCATACGAACAATGTCATTGTTATCTTGGTAAATTTGTTAAATAACAAAAAAAGCGTGTAAACAAACTCACAGCAATTAATAATGGTCGCTATTGCAGACAAGAGCAGAAATGTATAGTAAAACAAAACAAAAACATAATACAGGTATGCGGAGATTACGCAGGGTAACTGCAAAGGACAGTTATGAGAGTAAATATGGTGTAATCAATTATATGCATCAATACAGTGCAACATTGAATAATATGCGAGAAAGGGAATTCGCTTTGGCAATCAAGTTTCGTGCATGAAAATTCAAATAAAAATTCTCTTACCTGAAAGAGATGTCCGCTCAGTTTTTGAATTTCCTTTCTCGACAGCTGCCACACTACATAATAAAAATTCAATTAATATACAAATTAAATACAAACACAATAAAGCTTAAGATTTGTAATAGCATCATACCTTGAGTAGGAATGTTTTGGTAAAATCTTTCTAATTAAATCTTGGATTAGGGTGTTCACTAGTAGAGTATTAGGAGCCTGGGCCCCACATGGGCACGGTCCTCTGTCTTGAATGCATCTGAAGCAAACAAGTCAATATTAAAATCGATTCACAGGCATTCGTTACGTTAAAATAGTTAATTGAAAAGTCACATACTTAGTGCATCGCGTATGTCCGCACTGGCCTGTAACTGGCAGAGTAGGGAATTGTTTACAGTCCGGACAGCGAAACAAATTTTCTTCTGGTATTTTTGTATTCCGAGCGTGTTTAATAACCCTGGCCGCCACTTGTCGAGCGTTCGGCGAGGGCGGCGGCATGACCGGCAATGACAGCGTGTACAACTTACACATTACTGTCGACGACAATAAATCGTTCTCAGAGGGAGGAGATGAAAAGGAAACTTCATCGGTTGACCGATCGTGATTTGTAAGTTCACATATTGACTTGTTGCAGTTATTGGTATCGGGTTCCCAGTGAGACGTACCAGAAGTACTGGGAAGGGAAGAAGGGGAATCTATAATATGACTTAAATTTGATATGCGACTTGTATTACCAAATAGTAAAGAGGTAGTTGCGATTGCAGGCGTAAAATTGAGTGAATTCGAAGAAGTAGAAGGTGAAAGCCTATTTTGAGGTTCATCTCTCCCTTCTCTGTTGCGACCTCGGTTTGCATTCTCTAGATGTGTCACTGACATAGTCTCAAGTCGCCACATGCGTCTGTGCCCATGTGTATTCTCAATTGATCCTCTATACGTTTCCTCAGGCCGGTCTCCCAACGCAGTATCTGACTGGGCGTCATATGTGCTCGCGTGAAATGGCTCATTGTTTATAGAACACATACAAGTGATATGACCCTGTCTTTTAGATAAGAACAGGAGTGAAGGAGTATTGTTAATAATGCGTCGCCGCTGTAATGAACGTTCCGATGCTTGTGAAGCAGAGTGAGTGCACGTGCGTTGTCTTGGAATTGCTCTATATGTCCTCTGATACGTTCGTGGTGGCTGACAGGTTTGTCTTTCCGGCATTGACGAATATGGCTGATGTTGTAAGAGAGAAGTCAGAAACGGATGTCGTGCAGCAGTAGAACTTAAAGATTCTATAGGTTGTGAACTACAGAGTGGTCCCAATAGTTGCGTGGATGATCGACCGGTCCGAATCTGTCGAAAAAGTAATCTAGTCATTATTAGTGTTTACATAGAAATTAAGTAGTGAGAATATGATATATTAACTAATATATTGCATATTGAACAATTGTTCAATATGCAAATCGATACCAACCAATCGATAAGAAACCAACATGGGAAATTTCTACGAAATGAAGTACGATTACGATTTATGATTAAGATGACATGTTCTTGATCATTCGATTAATCTTATGATAATTACATACAACGGCTTCAGAAAAATCAAAGAGCATCAGATCAGGTTGCGAGTGCTCATGTGATGATTGTAGAGCGAATCAATGCACTTTTTTTGGCATAAGTTTCGCTAAAATTGCCCGTGATCTTGCCGACTGTACCACTTTTTTAAGTCTGTGAAAGCCACTCGAAACACTATCAAAATTTATTTACAGTGTTCTAACATCGTTTCACTAAAGATAACGGTGTAAAATTATATTAAAGATAATTTACAGAAACATTAATGGATCGATTACAAGAAAGCAAAACCATACAAGGTGTACCTACACCGTGTGTACAATTTGCCGCGGTTGAAAGTGTCTCGTCGGCAAATGCGAAGAAATTGTGAACTTGACCCAAAAACGCGCCAACCGGTTAGCGGACAAGCGGTAACGACCAACAGCCGTTCCTATGTAACGCACCACCTTTCACGTGAAATAGGTACCATTATATTAAGGTGGTAACATTACGGTCCTGCTTTAGTACAAAAGTTTGTGTTTTACTACCAAATTGTTAATGTTATATTTGCAATAGTAGTGTTTCATTTGCGGCAATGTAGAAACGTATATTTATTTATAACTGGGACGCAAAAATAGCGGGCCACTAAGAAAAATCGCGATATCTCCCAAAATTTTTGACTGTGGTTTTAGAGATAGATCGTTCGTATAAATAGTGAGGTCTTACTTGTAGAATATTGAAATTTAAAAAAATGTAACATCAGAATTTTGAAAAGTAACAAAAGTTATTAAGGAATATTATCATTTAAACATAAATTACAATAAACTACATAAATTTATATCATTGACATTGGCACGTAGTGCCATTGTATACATTAAAAAAAAGAAAGTGATAGCTAAAATGTTTTTTTTTCATATGTTAAACCAAGTAATTTTAATTTTTTATTTTAGTATTTAAAAAGGGTATCATAAATATTTTTTTGGGTTGATCTACAGTACTCAGTATAACATTATGTCACCTTAAGAATGTACACAAATCATTATTAGGTTACAAGAAGGAAGAAATCAGCCTAGTACTCATCGAGTATATAACCAGATGGTTGTACTTACTGCTAGAATAATGGGAGCATCGTTGTCTACGGTCTAGAGTATACCAGCTATTTCAAAAGCGCGGTATGGACATCACAACAATGTGAGCTCAGACACGATACTGCGACGACTTTGTGAAGCTGATATAAGATTTTTTTATAAAAAATAAATAAGTGGTCATTTGACCTGAAAATGACGTTGAGATCGACGGTGAAGCATGCACATTTAAATGATGCCTATTCATTTTCTCAAATTCAGAATTTTTCTCACGTTCATTTTCAGAATGAACTGCAGAGAAAATTCTACTCCATATGGGCGACGATGGAAACACATATTCGGGTCCATTTGCTGGCCTAAAAGACCTCAAACTTTTCAAAGAACATTAAATTGGCGGATTACTGTTTGCAAAAGAGTAGTTTACACACTACAAGATACAAATATTTTTTTAATGCTGATCGACTCAGTTTTATGTAAAAATAAAAAATAAAAATTTTGATCAATTTTGTTAATTTTTATGGACAACTCACGCTTCACCAAAAAACTGACTATGCCAAAATTGTTTTCACCAAAAAAGACTTAATGGTTTTTATGGCAGTTTCCTTGTATCTTCTATGGTCTCGGGTTTCCCCATGTTGTCCCATCAAATAAAAAACATCTGTATAAACGAGTATTTCGCCCTATACGAGTATTTCGCCCATCTCTAACAGGTAGCTAACTAATTACTAATTAATTGCAAGTCCACATTGCGAAACATCTAAAACCTAACAACCCCTCAAATATTAATAGTTTCTCGAATAATTGGCTGAATTGTTCGTCAACTGTTGAAGAGAGAATAAATATGTCGCACCTTTAGAATGAAAGTGACCTTGATTTAAACAAATTTCGATTTTTTTGGTGAAATTAACTCCTTTGGCACATTAATAGCTATAATTTTCTATTTACATTAGATACAATAATGAATTGTACCATTTCGATATCTGCATTAAACACAAAAAAGAAAAATATTAAAAATAATTCACTTTAAAATTTAAACACCTACATTTTTTACCTATGCCTTGTACCCAATATATTTATAGGATACAGTATTGTAAGAAAAATCAGGCGCAATAACCGTAACAGTTGTTACGTTTTCATGAAATGCCCTCCAAGCAGAAACCTTAGAATTTCAGACATTAAATCAGCGTAACACTGTGTCACGTCACATATAATTCAACGTTGCACTACATTAGCTTTCAACTTTGTATGGATACATCACTTTGACAGTACACATAGACGATACCAAATTTGCGATTATGCTGACCCACATTTGGATGAAATTGAGTTTTGAACTTCCTTTCTGTAATGCAGCGTATCCAAAAAACTAATTTCTGCTCTGCTCCTTGAACAATGTGTATTGCATTATTTTTCGTTGTGCCATTTTGTGAACCTTAACATACATTTTTAACGTTATAATACAGCAATATTTTATTGTAATACGATTAACAGACTTCAGGACAATTTAAATACTCTTATAATAGACAGGGTTGACTTTTATTTACCGTTCTTACTTTTTTAAAATCATTATCAATATAATAAAAACACAATTAACCCGGGATGTTAGCTGAAAATCAATCTAAGTGTGTGTCTGTGGATCGGCATGATGAATGTGGAACTCATTAATTATATCGCACCCTTAGTAATATAAGGGCACAATCCAAAAAAAGTAGATTTTTGGGAAATTTGGGAATTGATAGGGACTTAAATAATAAATGGGATCAAACTTAAATAGCTCCATATTTCTGTTATATTTTTTGTACTATATGGGTCTAACTTGAAAGTGTTTTTTTAACTTGCTTGAAACTTATAGAATTTATTTATATTACTTTTTTTTTTATTGCTATTTATAATACATTTATCAAAGAACAAATCTGCCAAATTTCATATTTATAACTTAAATAATAAGCATGTTATTTGAAAAAATAGGTGTAATGTAGGAATCCAGAATCTTAATACGCGATTTCCCAAAAATCTACTTTTTTTGGATTGTGCCCTTATATTACTAAGGGTGCGATATCTTGATGGGAATTTTTATTTCACAAATCCCCATTGCGTATAAGTACTTTGTTTGTGGGATATACCATTATTTTAACGAACTTTGTGTATGTCTCTTAAGAACAATGCTAATCTTACACAATATTAGTAAATTTGTAAAATTGTTACCTACCTTTCAAACTACCAACGTTACATAATCCGCAACTAACTAACTACTACATAGGTACGGGAGTAAAACTTCCAAGGCCATGTTACGATTGCACCTGATAAATAAGCGCTGGTTATATACAAAAGCAACATGTCGTAAATTAAATTATAGGGTGTCGAGTAAGAGTAAGTAATTTTATATTGAAATAAAATGAACGATAATACAAAATTTTATTTATATTAAGTTACCTGTGAAGGTATACTTGGATTTCTAGTTTCCACGAAAAGGGGTGTAGGACCCGATGCCCTCTCGGCGGGGAATGTCTGTATGAAAAACATTATCGTTCAATAATACTACTTATTTTTGAATATAAATAGAATAAAATTTAATTTTATCGAGCGCGTGTCATATTGGAATTACGAAATTAAGGTAAAAGTTAAAAAATGTACTATTTAAAATAACCACAATTATTTACTTGAAGCAGGCGCGGCAACGATCTCGAAGTTGTCAGTACTTCTTCAGGATCTATCTGAAACAAAATAAATATTACAGAACTTTATTGACTTATATTCGTAATTCGAGTACCTACGTCACATTGCGCTGTGTAACGTCACTAAGAGATCAAATGGTAAAAGCTTCATACAACTCGATAAACAAATTTAACTTAAAATAAGGATTCCGATCACTTAAACACCATAACCGTAAGATTCACAGTGTTCTAGAACCATATCAACAAATAAAGCTACTGACCTGACAACCGTTTTAAACTGTAGAGGTAACTATAACATTTAATGAAGTTATGGCAGCAAACAAACTGTAATGAATCCAAAGCAATGCCAAAGTTGGTTAAAAAGAGGCTAAGTTGCTGCAACAGTTTCGTAAGTGATTCGCGACGGGTACTTTAGGCAAGCCCAACGCCACGCTCTGCTCAGTTACGTCACTATGAATACGAAATATTATTAGCCTATTGTAAAGTTTAAGTAACTTTTAAATATAACTGAATTATATCGTATTTAGTCCGATGAATCCATAATTTAAAAAGACTATTATATCCAGCGCCGCACTGATACTCCTACACGATTAGGCCAAAATGTATTATGTTACATATCGTGCTGTTGTATCCTAAGCTCGCAACGAAAAAAAACTAAGATTTGACGCATTTAAGTAGAACGCAACAGGTAAAACTGCGACGGATAAAAATTTTCAACAAAAAGTTAACGTTTCACCTTTAAACAGAAGTAATGGAGTAAAAAAGTTCAAAATAGTAATTACCCTCGACAAAGGAATCACACAGAGCGCCATGAAGCACATTAAATCATCGTTTGATAGGGCACTGCTTACAAGTTCTTACGCAAAGCCAAGTAAGCGGGGTGTGCTTGCATAACGCGACCCAGTGGCACACTGACTTAGAGCATTGCGCTTGCACTCGGTACCACCTACTTACCACGCCGCTTGCTGGGTAATCGTAACTGTTAAGTACTGTACTATATCAACCCGCAAATATCCCCCTGCTGAGCTACATGGAGCACTTGTAAGAGAAGTTATGTCATTCGTAATTATTAAAAGTAAGTACTAATTAGTACTCAGTTATGTATAAACTTTATTATCTGTGATCGATTATTTTATTTGGTACATTTTAAATGATAAAATAATATAATGCAACGTAAATACAGTCACATCTCGGTACTTACCTAATACTTCTTATTATTGCTTTTGAGATCTCATTACATAATTTACGCGGTACACATTCAAATAATATTTATTTTTAGAACACACAACTTACAAAGAATTACGCGAAATGGATCTCGAAATACCGTAAGTGAATCTATTGTTTGAAAAGCTGGCTGTTACTGTTTTATAGCATTATTTAACAAGAAATTACGTAACTTACGAAACAGGTCGCGTACGAATTACAACTTTGTACATTTTTTGTAATCTCCAGATATACATACCATAATGCTCGATCTCACAACGCTCCTGATAAACAATTTATTTCGCCTCCTTCACTTTCGTTAAGTGTCTTTATGCATACCCTTTTATTCTTGGTACTTTTAACCTGGCCTTATTTGTGATCAAGTGTTATACGTCTACCTACCTCTCCCCACGGCCACGTTTCTATCCACATTCGCTCTATGAATTTGCGCCGTCAATCTTCTAAGGTTCATCCCTTTTACATAACTGAACGAATCGTTCCATTTTTTATCCTGATCACTACAGCATCTTACTCACCGCAGTACTCTCTTACTACACTATTTACGTAATATTTGGACAGGAAGGTTTTGTACCTTCATTAAACGACTCCGCTGTCGACCGCGTTACTCGCTCGAAATAAACGTACTTCGTATTGTTCCTATTACTATATTTGTTTCAAGGTGATGTCCTTTTTATATGAAACTTTACAAATAAATAATGTTTGGAATAATTTTATGTGTATGTAGCATTATTATCAAAAAACCTTTCTATAATTATTAATACAAAGTTCGAACACGAACTCTTAGAAAAAATCCTTCAATCTGGCTGGATTCGAAAAACAAAGATCTGCAACAAGCTCATAGAAAAAATCGTATGGTACGCTAGTTTGTTCCTTGCCTTAGTTGGCATAGCGTCTGGCACGGTTTGCTGGAAGACGTTGGTTCGAATCCAGCCGGATCGACGAAATTTTTACAAATTTTTTTATTGTTCGATTTTTGTATTAATAAATTATACTGAACTAGTGGAGTAATTTCACAACAATAATTGAATATCATGGTGGACAAATACCGTGACATTCAATAAAACTTAAAAATTACAACTTTTCTATAAATTTGAATATAGGTTCTATGTGGAGTGAGGCACTCCTCCTTTACAACTCTTGTGTTTACAAATACAAGGGTTGATACACTTATCAACCCTTATATTTGCAAACACAAGGGTTGTAAACTAGGCAAGCATGATGTAATTATAAGAGGCAGAGAGTGGGTCTTGCTAAGACTGATTCCCTGTAATCAGCACATTTGACAGGCGTTTTAGGGATCACAGTAACATATCTCATACACAAAAATATGCTGCCTTTTGCTTATTACCAAATCACGTGTTATTTATTAAAGTCGTGTTACTTGTGTGATTGGATTTCCTACAATAATACATTTACGAAAAATTATATTAGCCCGTTTGATAGGTACCCATATTTGTCTTTGTCTTCTATAACAATGCAGATTTACGACTATTACAAAGCTAATTTTTTTTTTATAACATCAAGTGGCGGGACTAGCAATTCGTGCAGCTGATGGTAAGCTACACGCGTGTCCATAACAATTAAAGTGCCACTCAGAACTTTAAATTACGAGTATAAAGTTCTGAGGTGCACTACCACTGCGCCCGTCACCCTGAGACATAAGTTGACAAGTCCCAAGTGCCTGTAAATTCACCAGCTCCCTTACCTTTCAAAACCGGAACACAGTAATACTGACATTACTGCTTGGCAGCAGAAATAAGTAAGATGGCAGTACTACCCTGGATGAACTCTTTCACAAGGAGCTCTGCTACTAAATTGTCTGCTCTGATACTAAAAATTGCTTTTCAAAACCGGAACACAGTAATACTGACATTACTGCTTGGCAGCAGAAATAGGTAAGATGGCAGTACTACCCTGGATGAACTCTTTCACAAGGAGCTCTGCTACTAAATTGTCTGCTCTGATACTAAAAATTGCTATCAATTAATGTCTTTGTAATGCTGTTACAACACCATGGCTATCATATCTTTCAATTGGAAGCTGTTGATTATGGCATCATTTAATTTTGTGTGTACTATTTTTTGTTTTGAATCACCTACATTCAAACATTCATGAACCTCAAAACTAAAAACTGGAAGTTATATAATGACACTACATATGTGTGTCAGACTGTAGCTCTGTCACTGGCATTTTTGCCAGAAAATATTATTTTTTTCTAAGCATTGTAGTCATAGTACATAAACATTACCTTTCTTTACCATAATGGCATCAGAGAGACAAAATCATGTAACTTGCAAACAAAAAGGGCTAATAATAATTTTTTTTTTTATTCTCAATTAAACCAACCCTTAACAAATATGAATAAAATAAGGATTCATAGATATTTAACCAAACAATATAGGAATACTATGAGATGATATTGCAGTTTTTGAAAATTTTTTGTAGACAGTATAAGTGTTAAATGTGAAATTTATTGCTTTGTGGTTTATAAAAAAGAAATAGGATTCAGAGCAGAAACCTTTATGTATTAGTGCCTCTTGGCCAGTTTTTATAAAAAGAATCAAAGAATAATCAAATATTAAAAGGAATCTGAACAAGATTCCATTTATTCACATTTTAACAAAAATGTATATTGGAATGACGCTTTACTTCCGTTACCAACTCTGTAATTAAGTATGTTTCATTTTTAATGCAATATAAATTTATAACTTAATTTGTTTTTACCTCACTGACTTTTCTTTAAGTGAGTAGCAAATAGAGATCAAGTTGGTTCCTATCACTTAAAAATAGAAGTAACTATTAATGACCATTCACTGTTTGCATGTAAGTCGGTCATAATTTGCTAATTTACAAATCAATTTCAAACCCTGATCGCTGGCTAAGAAAATCAATTGCCACAATTTTCTTCCATCAAAATAAAATCCTTCACTTCACTTTTTATTTTTATGGCTCCATCAATATGAGAACTGATGATTTTGCCAATGTCACAGTTGAAAGAAAAAAAACGAAACAAAAAAAAAAAAAATTTTGCTAAGCTCTAATAGGACATTGTCTTCTTCTTTTAAATGTTATAAAATCCTTTGTCATACAGTTAACCCACTGCACACTCTTTTTTATTTAATTATACGTGACATTGACATATCACTCAATTAATATCTATGACAATAGAGTAGTCATATTATGTAAACGATTTCACAGTAAGTATTAGTGTTATGTGATTTGTATTATGTCCTAACACACTGTTCAGCAGCATGTTCCAGAAAACGACTATTATCTTGTATAAAAATGAAATAAAACCAATCTTATGCAACATAACTATTTATGAAGTTTTTTAATATGAGTTAATGGACCATATAGTATTCAATTTATTGAAGCATATACTTGATCCTACTCACATAATGAATCTGATATTTTATTTTTGTTTACGTAGCCGTATAGCCGCCAAGAATTGTGGTGTGATTCCTATTGGGTAATCGCCTTTTCACGGCCAATGTACGCGACCATCCCCTTTACGTAACAACCGCGTGGCGTTGTCTCCTGCCTTTAGTCAGTGAAGCAGGAATCCTCAGTAGTACTAATTACGTAACACCGATTTCAAATCAGCATAAAAACAGCGTCACATACACGTAAGTCTATTTGCCGGCGCACTGCAAAATGTGTTTTTGGAAAAATGAAATATATATTACCTGATTAGTCGACGATACTGGTGGCGGGCTGATATGCCCGCCGGAATCTGGCCACATACTCTAACTGGACACACTCAAAAATACGAGAGCAACGTAAACAACACTGAAATAAGATAAATGGCAAATAATTCAGTAAAACGACCACCGTTTGCCTTTCGCCAAATTCAACTGTTCAGTTCAACTGATAAATAAAACCTGTAGACAGAGAAAACCATTGTACGATACCATAGATTAACGTAGCTGAAATGACATTGACAGTGACAGAAACTGTCAACTAACATGACGGCAATAAGAAGTGTTACCAGAAAATTATTTAACTATAAAATTGAATCGTCGTGGAAATCGATGGAGCTAATAAAGAGAAATTGGAATTGGAATAAAATATAATTGGCAGAAGAGCGTTCATATGTTCTTTTTCTTCTTTTTTTGAACAAATTTGAGATTTAGGGTCGTATACTAGAACTCTAATCAATGCTCAAATCAGGATTTGAGTATGGTTTAAAGCACTCGAAATCATACTTAAGTCCCTGCCATTAGGGTCGTATTTCCAGTGCTTGTGTTTCAATTACAATCCTGACTTGAGCATTGAGTAGAGTTCTAGAATATGACCCTGAGAGTCGTATTCCAGAACTGTACTCAATGCTCAAGTCAGGATTTGAGCAGACTTGAGTATGATTTCAAGCATTAGAAATACGACCCTAATGGCAAGGACTTGAGTATGATTTCTAGTGGTTTGAATCATACTCAAGTCTTGACCTGAGCATTGAGTAGAGGTCTAGAATACGACCCTAAGGGTCGTATTCTAGAACTCTATTCAATGCTCAAGTCAGGATTGCATTGGCAACACAAGCACTGGAAATACGACCCTAATGGCAGGGACTTGAGTATGATTTCTAGTGCTTTGAATCAAACTCAAGTCCTGACTTAAGCATTGAGTAGAATTCTAGAATACGACCCTTAGAGTCGTACTCTAGAACTCTATTCAATGCTCAAGTCAGGATTGCACTGGCAACACAAGCACTGGAAATACGACCCTAATGGCAGGGACTTGAGTATGATTTCTAGTGCTTTGAATCATACTCAAGTCCTAACTTAAGCATTGAGTAGAGTTCTAGAATACGACCCTAAGAGTCGTATTTCAGAACCCTACTCAATGCTCAAGTGATTTGAGTATGATTTAAAGCACTAGAAATCATACTCAAGTCATTGCCATTACGGTCATATTTCCACGTAGTATGCCTTATTAGTTTGTGGTGTTTCCAGTGTTTGAAATCATACTCAAGTTCTGAGTTGAGCATTGAATAGAATCCTGGATTAAGACCCTGAAAGTTGCAATGTTATTGAAAAAGAATACGAAAATTGGCTAAAAAATTTATGTACCTAAACGATTACAGAGAGCCAGCACCATTACATTGCAAAATTTTTTTAACACCGTTAACATTGTCTTTAATAGGTTTAATTTTAGCCGCGTGCATAATGATAAGTGCCAACCAATTAATTGTCGTTATAGATCGACAAACTATTGTGTTTATTATGAATTAAAGAATAGAAAATGTCATGTCTAATAGATTTTGATATGACATGAAACCATTATGAAAGATTCCTTTATTTTTTCCATCCTCTAAGTGAAAGATAAATTATACCCCTTTTGTGTCAACCATGATAGTTATGATATTATTCAAAGCAAATCAGTATAAGGGAGCGTTCAAATGACATGATGTTCAAGCGATAAATGTCGTGACGATAGATAGTCGTGCAGTTTAAAGTGTCGTGGCTTGTATATTTATATGACGTTGTTCACACATAGAACAACACGATTAACTATCGTTCACGTTTTTGACGTTATGACGACTCGATAAAAATGTGACGACAGATAATCGCAGCTTCAAACCTGTCTGTCGTGTAAACGACAAGGCGGCTGCCGTGAACTCATAAATTGTCGTCACGATCAAGTGAGAACAGCAAGACACCACAGTCGTTCAACGATAAAATAAACGCCAACGATACAGTCACGGCAGATAGTCGTGGTATGGAAGCAGGCTCGACGCGACAATCGTCCAACGACAAATAAAATTGGTACATTAATAATCTGAAAACAAAATTATAGCATGTATGTGGAACATCTTTCTCCGACCATTAGCCATTACCAAAGGTCAAAGGAAAAAGAAGTTACACATACATAGACACATGTAAAAATATAGCTACAAGGAGTGATATAGAGTTGTAAAAACCACCAAATTTTAATTGATTTTTTTTTCGAATTCCGGATTTCCGGAAATGGTTTTACTCCTTTGTAGGACAAACCTACTCGTCTAGGAAGTCGAAATTGGATTTTAAAGTAATTCTCGTAATGCCATGTAAAAAAAATATGCAGTAGGTAACTGACTTTTCATTACAGTAAACCTTCCTGACGCAAGAAATAAGTATGGTGGCAGTACTTCACTGGACGACCTTGCTCACAAGGAGCTCCACTGCTGATGCTGCTGATGGTGTTTTGATGTTGATGATGCTAATGATGCTGATGTTGCTAACGACTCTGATGGTGCTGGGGATGCGGATGATGCTGATGGGGCTGATGATTTTTGATGTTGATAATGCTGATGATCTTTGTGCTGAAAGTGCTAGTGATGCTGATGGTACCGATGATTCTGGTTATGCTGATGATTCTGATGGTGCAGACTCCAATATTTATGTTATGTCATGCCTGATCACCAGCATCGTCCGCACTATCAGAATCATCAGCATCATCCACACCATCAGAATCGTCGGTACCACCAGCATCTTCAGCACTTTTAGCATTATCGTCACTTTCATCGGAATCAGCACCATCAGCATCATGAGTACAATCAGCATCATCCGCATCATCAGCACCTCTCGCACCATAAGAATCATTATCACCATCAGCATCATCAGCACCATCAGCACCATCAGCACCATCATCACCATTAGAATCATCATCACCATTAGCATTGTCAGCTGCATCAGCATCACTAACATCTTCGTCATTATCAACATTTTATTAGTAGCAGAGCTCATTGTGAGAGTTCGTCCAGGGCAGCACTGCCACATTTATTTCCTCGGCCAAGCAGGTTTATTGTACATGTGGCGCACTATGAGTTTCCGTAATGAATAAGAAAAAAATACTATAAATGGTCAGAAATGAATTCTTATTTCTCAAAATATTCTCCGTTAGCGTTAATGTACTTTTTCATACGAATGAACCAATTTTCAAAACATTTGTGCCACTCCTCCGTGACAATCTGTGATCTTGTTTTGATCAATCTTTTCACACTCTTCGACAGCCTCTTCAGGTGATGAAAATCGTTGACCGTGTAATTGGTTCTTAATTTTTGGAAATAAATAAAATTCACAAGGTGCCAGGTTGGGAGTGTACGCGGGAAGGCTCATAAGGTCAACGTTGTTCCCCTTCGAAAATTCATTTGACTGTCCGGCCGTGTGAGAACTGGCATTATCGTGGTGCGAGATGATACGGCGTTTACGGTTATTTTTACGGAGTGTGTCAATAAGTTCCGGTAAAGAAATGGTCGTGTACCAATCACTATTCACGGTACAACGATTCTCCAAAACAACAGTAACAGTAGCTCCAGTTTTATTAAAAAAAGAAGCAATCATCCGCGTAGAGCACTTTGCACGCGCGCCTCTTTGGTTGGTTTCGGCTCATCTCGAAAGACTCATACGCTCGATTGCTGATTTGTTTTAGGATCGTAACAATAAATCCATGTTTCGTCACCTGTTACTATGTCCCACACTAAATTTGACGCCCCTTCGTTGAATCTGGTAAGCATGGCATTGTACCAAGTGACGCGACCCGTTTTTTGAGTATCAGTCAAATTGTGCGGGATCCGCCGAGAGCACCACTTTTTCACACCCAAATGTTTGTGTAGTATTTATTGATTGTATTAAAGATGCCCGAATCTCATGGTATGTCACATGCCTGTTTGCTCTGATCATACGGCCCACAGCATCGATGTTTTTGTTGTTCACAGCAGTGGACGGGTGACAATCACGAAATTCGTCACTGAGATTCACACGACCGCGTTTGAATTCTGCAAACCACCTATAAATAGTCGTCTTGCATGGTGCTTCATCGCTAAAAGCAGTTTGAAGCCGAGCGAAGCTCCGCTGAGAAAAACCTACCACGAAATTTTTCAGGAGTTATATCCATGGTGATATCCAATTTCTAAATTAACGCCACAATTTAAAAACAAGTGACAGATGAAACAAACTGAATTGTACAGCTAAAGAGTTCCATTTTCAAATGTTGTAATTACTTTTTAAATATTGTTTATGTAAGTGGGCAGTTCCGGTAATTTATAGTGCGCCCTATTTAATGAAAAGTCACTTTTCACTATGCTCTTAAAGTTCCTATATATACTGGGTGTAGGCTGCATAAAATAGGATTTTAGGCACTAGTGCATAACATAAAATTGTCGTTAAGACCGAGGCAATGCGCCTGAGCCAACAGCCACGCACACTACAACTTTATAAAATAAAGTTCTAGGATGCGTGGCTGTTGTTCACTTTTATTTATTTAATCCGTGTTATATTACAAAATTAAAAAAGACGCAATAGTAATTGTAATAAGTTATAAGAAATAGAAATGGATAAAAAATAAAACCTTGTGAAATAAACTGTGCATTATGTAGTCCGACCTGAGTTACGTGTAGAAAAAAAGTAGTACCAATTTACTACTGCGGGAAGTTCTTATTTTTTCTTGGCAATAGTTGTGTTGCTATTCGAAATTGTTGTAAAATTTACGCATAGATATAGGAAAAAGGGAAGATTTTGCATGGGGGCGTGGTTCGTGTCGCCTCGATATGATCAAAACAACCATAACGAGGTGACACACCAACAAACATCGCCACAGTCACATTGCGATCATTGTACATACAAGATCTCTTGTAAAATGTGAAAATGCCAAGTTGTAGCGATACACCTTGTTAATATTTGAGTGAAAACAAAATTTTAAAACCAGTGACATAACATTCCACCGGGTATTTGCATTTTCAGTTACTATTTCTATTATTATTGAATGTTTTCTTTTTGTCTCCATAGAAATTTCTAGACTCAAATATAATGATGTTTAACGACAATAATTTTTTACTGAAAAGTTTGAATTTCTTACTATGATTTTTGTAATTAAAGTCCCCAAAATATCGAAGCGAAAAGCTTTCACGTTAAATTGATTTCTTTTATTTTATTATTATAACTAAACATTTTATTTCGAGTAACTTTAACACTCATATTTCGGACAACCGTTTAAATTTCACATCAATTTGTGTGTTGCTGTTGCTTGAAGAAAAATGTATGTTTTATTGTTCTATATAATTTAGATATTTAAATTCCATTACACTCGTAGATTAAATGTAGAGTATTTTTAAGTTTTTCCAATGCGTACAAAATAAAAGAAGGTTGGATTGAAGCCGCAGGAAAATCAAAAGATTGGTTTTCTTATTATTATTTCTGACTTTGTTTAAATTTCCATAGCAAATGCATTTAAAAAATAAATAAAACCAAATCGGCTTTATTTTACATGTGCATGCAAAACAAATTAGAAACATTTATAGAAAATTACGTAAATCCTTCATAAAAAAAACAACAATTTAATTTATTAAATTAGTTGATGGTTCGAGTTTACTCTTGACAGTGACAGTTTCACCAACCCGTGGTAACGTTTATTGGAAAACTGACACTGGCCCAAGCCTAGTGGCCGCCATTAAGAAAATAATAATGGTTTATATTAATTTAATAATATAATACCCTTAATAACGAATACACCAGTACTAGTGTAGGTATAGTATGAAAAATTTAATATTTTTGTAATATTAAAAACAGCCACATGTTTCTAACTATCGATTAGGTAGGACCACATCGCTTGTTGATTAGCGTCAGTTTAAGGTTAATAAGGTAAACAATTCACGCAGCGGTTTCCATCCGCGCCCGTCGGTGCTGCTAGACAGCGGTTTTATATCTATACTCACGTCTCTGCAAGTTTATGCGGGTCCGTAATATGGAACGGTTAATAGAGAACACACCCCGCATTCGCCTGTACCACATTGCGCCTGAACCGACTGCCAAAGTGCACGGGTGACGACAGCCGCCAAACGCGCAGGTGATCGCGTCCTGCGCGGTTCTACTAGTACGCCGCCGCGGCAACCGCGAGCAACCGTCACCACTACAGGCGTAAAACGCGCCGTAAAATGTGCTACTAATTTTATATACTTAACTATTACATTCTACAGACGCGGGTGAAAACCGCTCCGTGAGTTTTTAGTGTAACGAAAAATGAGTTTCAGCGCCATCTAACGTGTAATAGTTAGCTATTATATACTAGTAGCATTTTTACCAAAACGCCACCTGAACCAGGATGAAAAAAATACTGAAATATTTTAATATAACTCTTACTCAAGTGACTGTAAGTTTAATTTTGTTAAATTTTAAAATTGTGTTACGTCATTTTCACGTTTTAGGCCGTACCTTATCAAAATCTTTAAGTTATAGTAGTAGATAATTGAGCGTAAAGTTTGAATTGTACACAAGCTAAAAAGAGGCGACATGGTACCCGATCTTACATAGCGTCATTACATATCTCCCCTTTTTTCCTATGGGTACGATCCCCAGCCGAGTCAGTACAGAAACTTTTCTATATTGTCTCGAGTCTGGGTGTTTTGTTTGATTTCCATAATACAACTCTGTCGAATTAAAACGCAGCTAAGTGACAAATGGTCAAATAACGGTTTTAAGTACTTATTCGACTTATCGGATCTTACCCTAACGACACATAGCTGAAATATCATTAGGCAATTGCAATATTCTGAAAACGGGGTTATGGTTTTTATGCTTTTTCAAAAAATCATTTTGTCATTTAGCCGCGTTTTAGTTAGCGGACGACAGAAGTGCTTTAGATACTTACTATGGGACTTTTTTCCATTCTCTAAGATGGGATCAGAGCAACATATTTGTAATGTCTAATATTTATTTATTTATTTATGCAGCTATGCATGTATCTATAGATTTGGAACACCTTTTTCCGATCCATGGTTATCTTATCACGAACGAGACGATCTATCTAATCATAGCCACTAGCTTATTGGTGCTATTATTAATTTCTATGCAGAACGCTTATTTATATAAATACAAATATTGCATGGCTTAAGCAACTATTAACGCGATATCGTATAAACTAAGTTAAACGATATTTCATAGGGCCGTTATCGTTATCGTTACCGTTGTAGTAACGTTTGGCGCGGCTCAGTAGAAAGTATTACGACCATAGATCATAAATCTATGATTTGTTCATGGACCTAATAGGTCCATGGATTTGTTCGACAGATTCTTTTCTTTTGCTGAATATGAACTCCAAAAAGCTGCAGACTATAATATTCCAACCATATTATTTAAAACAGCAACACGTTGCCTGTGACATGTCCATTCGCTCTTCTCTGTCTGTACGTTTCGTTTGTTTGTCTATAATTTTATGAATATAATTCTAGACATCGGCGTGAGCAACAGTTTAGTCCATTTATTTTTTGTTTTATTTCCATTTTTACTGCAACTGCTGGAGTTCTACTTAAAGTTAGTTCTTCTGATACGCTGTGCAAATTCTTATGAAGTGGCAGTGTTTTTTTTTTAACAAGGTAATGGGAATACGAAGTATGGCATAATAAAGTAGTTCAGGCGGACGGTATGGGGATCATACGCAGTGCTCGTTAGATATTGTACTACATAGTTATTTTTCAACTTGATGGAAAATTATGACTCCTTTATTGTACCGTGTTACTAGATACAGCAATTTTACTCAATTGAAAAAAATATTTGGCTCAATATAAATAAAGTGCCCTGTGTTTCTTAGTGGAAAAGCGTCCAGAAGCGTCTGCCGTAATACAAGCGCTCCTAATTCCGATGTGTGCAAGTTACCCTTTGCTCGGAAGCTCTTAAGCGATAATCGGCATCATGGATGACGATGGAGACGACAAAGATGACACAAAAAGGTAAGCACGTAAATGTTGTGTACTTGTACATCTGTTGAATCTCGTAAATTTGAGTAGGTACCTAAAGAGATATATGGCAACAACACGTAAACCGCCGCGGTGCGTCGTGTAATTGAAATTGAATTGAAATAAAATTATACTTTTTGCCATCCCAATTCTATTGACATGTCTCACAATAGTTCAGTGTGTGTGTGGCTTTTGATTTAACCAACTACAGAAAATGGTAATTGTAAAGCAAGTTATTACATATGTACACAAGTATCCGTCATACAATGTTGTTGGCAACCTCAAGGACATATCACACATAACGTACTTTGATGCATCACCAAAAATATGCTCTATATACATACCTAAGTATTGCATTTCAATTACCCTAAATAACAAAAAAAAAAACAAGGTACACCTTCATATCACCAATAAAAATCAAACACTTTTTATTTTAAGTTAACATATCCCTTTATTGCTTAAGCTTTGGGATTTAATCTGCTTTGTAATGTTGCTTATGTTAGGTTTTTATTGGTGGTCATGAATTTTGATTTACACCTGGTTTGCTATAAATTATAATTTGATGTACAAGATATATCTTGTGTTATTGTACCACAATATGTATAATCAAGAACAAAATTAGAACCACTAGTTACGCTTTTATTCAAAGGGAGGATTGTAATAGTAATGTTGAAGAAATAAAATTTGTTAAACTTCACATAAATTTTTAAAAATAAACATTGTTGTAAGTGTTTTTGGCTATCAATCAGTCAATATTAGAGAATTAAAAATGAAGATGTAATTCGACTATTGTCAGGGATAGTGCAATTACGCATAAGTAGCATTGTATTAGGGCTTTCTATTTTGGTCATTTAATGGTCAAATCAAATCTGCGTATTATATGTTGTGGCAACCAAATTAGCATTATACATGAGATACGCACCTTTTACCAATTCTGCATACATTGATTTCCACTATCCCCAACATTATACAATTATTTGATTACGGATTCGACATAACATGCAGTGCATTGGCTTGAATTGTGCAATGCATAGTCCTTAAGCATCTGATATTAGTTTGATATGTTAATAGTGTTTGCAATATTTTTGCATTAGGAGGACTCGTAATCTCAGTGAAAAAAAGAGAAGGGATCAATTCAACATGCTGGTCAAGGAGCTCAGCTCAATGGTCTCTACTAATAATAGAAAAATGGACAAGTCCACTGTGCTCAAGTCTACAATATCCTTTCTCAAAAATCATAATGGTTGGTATTAAATTTTTTGACAAAATTTTTTTATTTTTGTATAGGTAACTTATACTGTCTATGTCTCAAAAGTTTCCTACAAAAATGTGTCTTTTGATTTCTAAACATAGCATCAGTTGTATCGCAGAATTGAATGGATGTTAGATTGAGTAACATAAAAAGTTTGTGAAATTTTGTTTTAAATTTTATTACAAATGAACAATTTGGTCAAGTTACAAAAAGAACAGTGAAACAAACCAAATGAAAACAATGGAAAACTAAAAATGACTTTACTATTTAATAACAATACTAATAATTTATTTATTTTGAAAACAGGTTATATAGAAGCTGAAATGTACAAAATAAGTATAATTTCACTATGTCCGACCATATTTTATTACGTTCATATTATTATATTTCTAAGAAGGCTTTTCACTTCACAACTAACTGATATATTTTAGAATTGGTACTTGTAATAGAAACATTTTGTTTATTCCCGTTTAATAATACTGTGAAATAGGTAAAGTGGAATGAAGTATACTTTATGTTAACAATAGCACAATCCAGGGGTACCCGCCGCAATGGAATATTACATTGCAGTATATAATAGCATTCAATTTGATTTGATTTTGTAACACACATCTTTTACTTATTTAGAAAAGCCTGTAGTCTTATCTTGGCTATGGTTATATCTGAATTAGATTCTTTTACATACTCCTCAAAGGAGTATATGATAGTAAACATTTAAATTATATATTATTTGTTTTATTAAAGAAATAGTTCTTCGTAGTTCTTATTTAGTTTTTAAATTTTTGCTATTTTCTGAGTTTTTCGTTTTCTCTTCATTATTTTTGTGGTGTTGTAATAAATACCTTCTATTCTATGTATGTATTACTATTTCAGAAATTACAGTCAGATCTAGAGCTCATGATGTGCAAGAAGACTGGAAACCAGCATTTCTGTCCAATGAGGAATTTACATATTTAGTCCTAGAAGCATTGGAAGGCTTTGTTATGGTTTTTTCAGTCAATGGACGAATATACTATGTATCGGAGGGAATTACTTCACTTCTTGGTCATAATCCGGTTCGTAGAAAGAATAATTTTCTATTTGCACTTACATTTTGTTTCTTTATAACATTAACATATGATGTTGAGTAAGTTGGTTTATTTTACATATTTTGAAGTGTAATTTTTTTTCAGGCTGATATAGTAAATAAAAGTATATTTGACCTAGCGTCCGAGGAAGACCAGCCAAGTCTTTACAGCCTTTTACAGAACCCGAGAACAGCAGCGGATCCCATGCAAGCAATAGCAAAAGGTTAGTTAGTGTCTACTTGTATTTTATATAATTTTTTCTAACTTCTTACTTGAATTATTGGAGAATATTATTTCGTGTGCAAATATAATTTAAGAATAAATATGTGAAATATGTATAAAAGTTAAATTTATCAACAATGCTGTTTAACTTCATGTAAAGTCAAAACACTGCAAGTTCCAGTAATTTCTACTGTAAATTTTTTTTCAAATCTCTGAATATGAAGTGGGCGCTAAAAGTAATGGGGCTCTCTGGATATCAAAACAGCATTTGGGATTAAATTTGCAATTACAAATTGTAACTTTCCATAAGTGTTATATTCATACAGAACGCAAGGTTTTGGATGTTCAGAAAATTTGTATTCACAAATTCAAGAGATTTAAATCAAAGTAATTTATACTATGCTTATGTAACCTTCATTAGTCTCTGCAGGAAATTCATAGACACCTTGTTTAGTGTCGGGACTCAAGTTTAGTGCAGTAGTATATTTCTGGATATCCAGAAGTTTGCAGGTTGTTAGATCTAGAAATTAATTGAAGAAATTGTCCATAATGTAATAATGTCCACTTGTAATTTTAGAACATTATGTGTTTCTTGGTGAGATATTTTTATAGCTGACATTATTATAACAGGCAACTGGCTGTCGCGAAATATCTACAAACAGACAAGGGTTGACACTTAGCAAATTGTATTTATAGCTTAAAAAGTTATAAATCTCTCTTTTGAGTAACGGCATACACTTTTATCATAAAAGATCAAGCAATATTGAGAATTCCTTTGTCTATACTAATAATCTAATATACTTATTTATATACATTATAATTATTGTAATTTTCATCAGTAAATTCATCAAAAGTTACACATAATTAATTGTCTTTCTATTTGTAAAATTATTTAAGCCAGTTAAAGCTAGTATTTCTATTTGAAAATTTCCAACTAGTTGATATTAACCATAGTAAACATAGTGAAGTGTGTAAATTCAAAGGAAAGTAATCACTATACCCCATAACATAAGAAAACACCATCAAGTGCATCATAGACTCCCAGTGTTGACAAGAACACGTAAGCGACGCGGATTTCACGGCGCTTAAGACCTTTTAGTCGCGAGGTTTGCGCAATGATATTATCGACCGTGTTCGGATGAAGGTAGTGGTTAAAATTGACGCTGTGGATGTCTACTAGGTTTGTAAGTTATCCAAAGATAAATATAACAGAGCGTACACATTGGAGATTGTTCTAGACTGCCTACGGGAATTCGGTTCAATTACATTTTGCTGCTATTGGTATTTTATTTTGTAGATAATGAGTGAATATAAATGGGGTTGTTGCCCCTATGGTAACGATAACGATAAGAAGAGCTTTATTAGATGTAGTGGATGTAACCAGAATTACCATTTCGCATGTATTGCTGAAGATGAAAGCTCTTTTTCATCTAAATCCGTATCGCTGTGGAAATGTTTAATGTGCAAACCGCAAAAAAATCCCACTAAAGATGATGATACTCCTGTGCGAAGTGTAACAACTTCAAGAGGAAGTAAGAGACCAGCGTTCATTTCTCCTGAGATTACAGAACCTGATACTGATGCAACAGCAGTTACCAAAAAAGATGTGCATGATATTATAAAGGATGCACTTAGTTCTGAATTTGACAGATTGGTGGAGAAGCTCAGTGACATGGTTTCTCAAAGTTTGGATAGGAAGCTGAAACCCCTGGAGACTGAAATGAACAAAATGCGAGATTCAATGGATTTTTTAAGCTGCAAATATGATGAACTTTTGAGAGAGCATGTCAGCGAAAAGGAGGCTGTGAAGGTAGTTCAGGATGACAACAATATGTTAAAAGTTACCGTAAATGACTTAAAGTTGAAAGTAGAACAACTCGAACAACAGGCACGTTCTAACAATATTGAAATTCAGTGTGTGCCGGAGAGTAAACAGGAAAACGTATTGGATGTTGTTATGAATTTGAGTAAGGTGGTAGATTTCAGTTTGAATCAGTCAGATATAATGAACTGTACAAGAATAGCCAAGCTTAAACAGGACAGTCCCCGTCCGAGATCCATTGTGGTACAGCTTGCCTCGCCTATTGCGTGACAAGTTTATAGCGTCTGTGGCAAAATTCAACAAAGCCAACTTTAATGATAAACTAAATAGCTCTCATTTGGGTCTTTCCGGAAATAAGGTAGCGATTTTCGTCTGCGAACACCTGTCACCTACCAATAAAGCCCTGCATGCTACTGTTAGACAAAAGGCTAGAAAAGCTGGTTATAAATTTGTTGAACGAAAACTACAAATTTCCACCGTGAAGTAAGCCTATGTAATTATGACATCATAGTTTTAACTGAAACATAGCTTGATGGTAACATCTTGAGTAGTGAGCTATTTGACGAAAGGTATGTTGTTTACCGAAGGGATAGGGAAAGTACTGGTTTCCATAATTTGAAAAGGGGCGGAGTCACACTCATTGCATTAAAAAAAAATTCATTTTTAATTTTAGTTTTCATTTTAATCTTCGTTTTAATCGTTTCAATTTTAATTTTAAATATTTAAATTTAAATAATTTTGCGTCATAATGCAATGGGAGAGTAGGTGCGAGGATCTATGAGTAGTCATTGATGTACCTGCTCGTAGTGGCAAAAGTGTTCGTCAGATAACTCTCTGCGCAGTTTACCTGCCCCCACCGGTGAATATCGCATTAATAGACAATTTCCTAAATAATTGTAATTCTCTATTCGATGAAATTGATCTACCGAAATGTTTGGTGGACTTTAATCTGGGAGCAATCGACTGGAGCTTGCTTGGTGACCCACAACGTAAACTCAATGATGTTTGTCAGTCTTTAATTGATTTCACCTATGTTAATAAATTACGTCAAGTAAATAACGTACTTAATCATACTGGCAAATTACTTGATCTTGTTCTATCTGATATACCTATTTGTATTGTTACCAAATCAATGACTACTCTGAGTAAAGTCGATCAGTATCATCCCCCATTTGAAATACATCTCGAGTTCGCAGATTCTAGCAACTCACCGTACAACCCATCAGGTTTGAAATATAGTTTCCATAAAGCGAATTACGAATGTTTTCGTGAAAGTCTTGAAAGTATAGACTGGCATATTTTATTTCAGAATCTTAAAATTTATGATATGGTAAATGTATTTTACGACAAATTGAACGCACTAATTAGTGATTATGTGCCAGTTGCTAGATTGAAATGCAGTAAATATCCACCATGGTTCAGTGGAAACTTGATTAAGATATTAAAGGAACGTAATAAAATCAAAGGTTGAAATTATATAACAATCCAAGAGATGAATTTGAACTACAGTTACTCACTGAACGATGTACAAGTATCTCTAGAGAATGTCATAAAAAGCATTTAGAAAGGTTGCAGAGTCAATTGAGAGCGAATCCCAAATTGTTTTGGGCACATGTAAGAGCTAAGCGTGGTGGATCTAGTACATACCCCATTTCTATGACTGATGGTTCTTATAAAACATCTGATGTTGCTGAAGTCTGTGAATTATTTGTGTCTAATTTTTCTAGTATTCGTGATTTTACTGGTGGCAATATTTTGGGGGGAAATTGCTGTATAGAGGAATCGTCATCTCTAAAATTCATGGAAATAAATAGTCAGGGTTTTCATGTACTATTAATAGAACTAGAAACTATTGAAAGAATTCTGAAAACACTAGATAAAATAAGGGAGCCGAGCCCGATGGAATATCACCTCTGTTTATTACTTCTTGTGCGTCGCAGTTGGCCCAACCTCGTTATTTAATATACAATAAATCTAGCTACTGGTGTGTTCCCTTATATTTGGAAAAGAGCTAAAGTCGTTCCTATTTACAAGTCGGGTGATAATAGCCTAACAACGAATTATAGGCCAATATCGATTTTGTGTATATATGCCAAGATTTTGGAATCTCTCCTTTGCACGTATATTCGTAGACATTTTAATTTTTATCTTAGCAACTTTCAACATGGTTTTGTTAGTGCCCGTTCTACTTGCACCAATCTAGTCACATTTAATGAAAATCTGGTCGAAGCTTTAGACTCAGGGAAGGAATTGGATGTACTGTACACAGACTTCAGCAAAGCTTTCGACTGCGTGCCGCACAAAATACTTTAAAAAAAGTTATATGCATATGGCTTCTCGGGGATTTTTCTTGATTGGCTCATGTCCTATTTAACGGATCGATCTTTCTGTGTAGTAATTAACGGCTATCAATCAGGGCCTAGAAACGTAGCATCAGGTGTTCCACAGGGATCGCATTTGGGTCTCCTATTATTTAATATCTTTATAAATGATATACCTGTCCCTGTACCTGTGTGCTTTAGGGTTTCGAATTTATTTATGTACGCTAATGATCTCAAATTTGCCAGGGTAATAAACTCTATAAACGATGTACAGCTGCTTCAAGAAGAGCTGAACCGGCTAGTTGTATGGTATGGAGATAACGGTATGAAGCTTAACTCTGCTAAATGTTTTTTTGTAAAATTTTGTCTCAAATTTAATATTATTCCCTCTAAATACTACATTGGCAACCATTTAGTTCAAGAATGTGATAAAATTAGAGACCTCGGAGTTTTGTATGATAAAAAGGTAACTTTTGCCCCACATATAGAAAATATAATTAAGCGTGCGTCTAGAATGTTAGGATTTGTTATGAGAAACACCAAGGATTTTAAAAATGTTAAAACAAAAATACTATTGTACCAAAGACTAGTCCGTAGCACATTAGAGTACTGTAGTGTGGTGTGGCGGCCTCATTTCGCCGTTCATTCGTTGCGATTGGAGCGAATACAGAGGCGTTTCATGTGGTACCTTGCTTTCTCGATCGGCAAAGCCAAAAAAGGCTTCTCATATGCTGACAAATTACGTTATTTCAAATTGATGTCCCTGGACGACCGGAGAAAATTCCTTGATTTTCTATTTCTCTTTAAAATTCTGCGTAACCACATAAATTGCCCTCATTTGCTTTCTCTTTTCAATTA